GTACGCTTTTCCGGAACTGCAACTTCATGCCAACAGCGAACAGTTCCATTGGTGTTTTTATCTTGAGAGATGGAGCCATCGCGACCGGACAAAAGAAAAGGTTTTTTTTTTTTTTATTTTCCTTTACTGCTATCTCTTCCGATTCGGAACACGACTTCTCAAGGAACATAGCTTCCTATTCATGGGTATTATTTCATTTCCCACTGTCCATCAACATCTTCGTAAATAGGTAGTTATCGTTGGCTATTGTTGAATCGAGTAGCAAGGAGGTATTTTTCGAATTACTGATCGTTTCCTGGCAAACACTGCGCGTGGCAGGTAGTGTTCCTCTCGCGCTGGAAACCGAGCGTTTAAGTCCACCCTTTTTCTTAACCTACCCACGCCTTTCCGCATTTTTCATGCATTTTTTGCATCTATGCAAAGCAAAAACACGTTTTGTTGAAAGATGTTCGTGTTTGTGTGTGTGTGTGTGTGTGTGTCTGGGTGTTCGCCTGTACCAATTTTCATTTCGAGACCTACAAAAGCTGCAGGGCTGAACTGTGGGAACTATGCAAAAAACACAACCTCGTACAGTCAATCGGTGTGTTGGCCAGTTATACTTTTTAGACCGTCCATTCGGCCTTTAACGGCCGCAATTTGTCATTCCACCAGTGGGATAACCAATCCGTCTACGATTCGTTCATTCGATTTGATGACAAATTTGATTAGTACAATTCAGAGAGTCAGACCATATCAACTTGCTCACCACAAATCTCATGGCCCTTCACACTATCTTTATGTTCTGTTTTTAACAGGTTACGAATGGGAGTAAGGGCACCGGCTGCTGAGACTGTTGGTCGCCGTATCATGTTAATTTGTTATTATGTCGGTGATAATGGTGCAGTGCGGGAGCAAAGGCATATAATTATTGTTGATACTCAGGTTATATTGGAAACCACTTTGAGGTAATATTTTTGTAGTTTGAGGGGAAAGTCAAACGTATCAGATGAAAAAGTCTTTATGCCTTCAAGAAAAAATTGTACGATTCAGATGATTTCTTTATAGCTTCTGTAGCTAGTTATAGTGAATAAAGGAGTTATCAAGTAGGAAAGATATTAATGAGTTTTTGACCATCATTATCTTATATCAAAACTTTGTGATCTCGGCTTCCTTTTTTTTTTAACAAGTAATAGAGAAAAAAGGCACCAACATATTCCAAATGAAATGCTGCGAGCCAGAGATATTATTCAAGCAGTATACGGCCAGCAAGAGGAAATGGGTTGGTTATGTAGCGTGGATGACAGATAACAGATGGACGAAGCAGATATTGGAATGGTATCCGCGCACTGTCAAGCGAACACTGGGGAGGCCACCAGTGAGGTGGAAAGATCCCATGGTACGCCTGTACGGCACTGCATGGACTCGAAGAGGGCAACAAAGAATCGAATGGAGAAGTTGCCAGTGGCATCGATGGCTTGACAATATGACATGCAGCTGCTTAAGTTAGAAGTTATCAGAGAAGAGAGT